TACATACGCATAACTTAAAATAACTTAACGTAACTAAGATAACATAAAGAGCATCCACTAAGTTTTCGGACTGGGCGCGCCATGAATAATTCTTAGTCAACAATAACATTTCATAACCAACAGCTACCAGTTTTTGAAAGACCACTTCAGTAGCTGTCTTTTGGTATATAACTTGTTATTATAAACCATAGGTAAGTCCGGAAAAAATTGGTCTGAATGCAAGAACTTGGAAATTTTGCAATCGAATTCCATAAAAACTGATGATAGAGAAATTTTTAATGGGCTGGCAAATTTGTTAGGCAGAATATCTTCAAAACTGGAGTATGCTAGTGTACTTAGAAAATCCCAAGGATTTCAAAAATGGTCATTTCAACAATCCACATCATCCTTCTGATCCGTGAGGGACCACCAAAGAGATAAAAACAAGGACAAAATTTGTCATTCCCGATCACCGCAGAAAATCGACTGCAGATTTTTAGACAGTCAAAATTTCTGAAAGGTGACTATGTTAAATTACAGCCTTAGTACTTGGGTTCATTTCATCGACAAAACGCGTTCGGAAAAATATCAATCTTCTAAATAACTTAGGATCAGGTAAACCCGTGAGAACTTATTTTAAGATATTTATTGAAACTTGTGACATTATTTTAATTCAGGACCACGTCCCATTTGTGTCCTTCAGTATTTCAAAAATGAGTTTTTGACATAGTATCAACCCATGTCGAGTGGGTTCCGAACTTCGGAATCCGAAGTTGCACCTACTAATAAGAATGTGTTCCCCTTTTGGGAGCACATATTTAAGTTTTCGTTAACATGTATTAACATAGGGCTAAAATTAACTTGTTATGGCTAATTGTGACAAAACTTCGTAATAATTTAAAATTTGTAACATTTTCTAAGCCAACTTATCTGTGGCTTCAAGATAAGCGTAGCAAGTTAAAAAAATTCAAAGGAATACTAAAGCTATACTGGGTGAAAGATGGGAAAATGACACGAAAAGTTTTGATGCAAAATTCCAGGAACAAAATTGAGTTATCCGCTATAGGGGGTGTGTAATATTTAGACACTAATTAAATTAAATACATAAGGGTTGGGTAATAAACATATGCAAAAGGTTTCGGATTTCATTCACTATTGGTGCTTCTGCAGTGATTTGTACCGCTCAGTCCTAAACCTTAGTGGACGCTCTTTAACTACATAATTTCAGACTAATTGGAAACTCGGGGCACTATGCATAACTCAGATTTTATTGACTTTAAAATACAAATTACCGAAGTTAAATGAGGTGGACTTGCGTGTAGCCCTGAGGTTTAGAAATAGTGAGCCTGGTGTACCCACTTTAATGTTTTTATGAATTAAACCCATTAATCACCAGTTCATTTTGTGTACATATTTCTTCATGTTTTTGGGAAAATGAGATTTGCGTTACGTTACGCAGGGGGGAGGGGGGTAGTAGCCTTGCGTTACGCTAGTGTGACAGAGGGGGGGGAGGGGTCTGAAAAAAGTCGATTTTTGCGTTACATAATTTATGAACGGCCCCTTATCTATCTTAAATGTGGATCATGGGACGACGAAAGGAATACTGGTTTCATCTTCAGATTATGGGGAGCCTTGATGTTTTCTTATCTAGCCACTTCGGCCGTTTGTACGGTTGTTTTCGCTATCACAGTCGTGATGATTTATCCCACCGAGGTGAAGTTTATACTTCTCGATTCAATGAGCAGGTTATAGATAATAACAAAAAATACAAAATGTATAGTACCAATGGAAATATCACGCATAAATTTACAGAGATTTGGGGACAGGAAGGCAACGTGTAGGTGTGCTTCAGAACTTACCGAACTTTGCAGATGTTAACCGACATGCACAATTCAGTAATAAGACATCCCTTCATTTCAATCATGGTCGGAGCTGTTACTGCATGTGAAAGTTTTGCGTTATACATCATAATAACCGCGACGTCTGCGATTCCTATCCCGATTTTGCTTTTACTTTCATCAGTTGCGGTCGATCTGTTCGTCCTTATCGTGGGACCTTTCAGAATTATGGCAAATCCACTTGTCAAATCAATCGCACTGCTAGAATCCCTTAAACGGATGAATGAGTCTAAATGGGTAAAGCGATTTGTCAGGTCATTACCACCATCAAAGATGACATTGGGTGATGGGAAGTTTTTTGATAAAGCTACGTCGCTAGTAATCTATAGTAAGTGTGCGGACTTGGTCATTACTTTTCTTCTAATGTAATTTGCTTCATATACATACAAATACCGGCTTGTAAGTATGCATATACAAACTATGTGATTTGTGGACCTTAGGTGCATAACAGTATATGAGTTAAATAGCGATATGGAGAATTAATATGTTTGGGCGACATATTATCTACATATTTATTTTCATATAGAGGTGGTTTATCTAACTTGCATGATGCAAGTTGCATGAATGTGTGCATTTATTATTTGAAAATTTTCAACATGAGCCTAGATATTTTCTGTCGTAATTAATCAATTCATATTTTTTGTAGACTAAAAAAATATAGATGTTAAAAAATTAGGGAGAATATATAATTCTTAATTCTTCTTTAACGAAGGCTAATGAAAAACTACATCTTTGTACGTATCTTACTTTGAAAGGTGTGAATATTGTCATGTTGAATTTGTTCTCGCTGTGATGATGTTATGTACGTTGTAATGTTATTATTTAATAGGTATAAAAATACAAAATGGTGATTACTAGACACATATATTAAAAATTATCTAATGCAATGTAAAATGTTACGGTGTGAATTGTTACATACAGATGTATTATCCGTGTTGTAAATATGAAATTGAAAATAATTTTCGAAATCGTAAACAATCCGTGTTTCTAGAATTAAAGCAAACAATTGAAGCGTATGTATGTTTTGCTCATGTAGATTTAAGAAATATTTCTATTCATTTCACTGTTAGATCAAGAAGCAGATTGTTTATACATGGCATTTTGGCGGATATTTACATGATTAAACTGAAGAAATTGAACAGCAAGAGAGATACACATTAAATAATTTAGTTTAAATATGTTTTTGGACAGCGATGTTTAACATTTATGTGCGGAACACAAGTCCAAACGGTTCCTCAACACCCAGAGTTGACTTGCCGTCGAAAGCTGTCTTTCTGCGGAAAAATTCCATGCTGCCAAACAGTGCAGAAAGTTCTCCAAACGGAAGTAATTCTTGGATCCCCTCATCTACATCAGGGTAATAATAAAAACTTGGAGACTCAGCATATCTTATGCATATAACAGTTCAACGTTTAAAGTTCATAATTATACCCTTTTCAGCATTCTAAATTCAGCATTATAAATTACAAAAAAGTGTCCAATTAAGAAAATAAACCATACTTATAATTTTCAGTTAAGCATATTTAGGTCCTTTAGACATCGACTTGTAAAAAAATTATAATTTATGTTATAAGTTCACGTCGGTAATTTTGGCACTCGCGTGATTGGCAGATTCCCGAAAAAGTGTGTTTTTTCGAATAGGAAAAAGGCTCACGGCCACTTCATTCCTCAAGGGATAAACTGGACAAGACATATCTGATCGTATTACGATCATCGTAAAAATTAAAAATATAAAATTTCGCTTTTGTCTGCCAGGAGACAAAGACTCTGATAAGAAACGTGCAAAACAGCCTTAGAGAAACCCCCTGCATATTCGTGAGAGGTAGAGCCAGAAAAGTAAAAATTTCAAAATCCTATCTTCACCACATTACAGCCAATATCATAGGCTTTAAAACATTCGAAACTAAAACTGCACCAAAATCCAATAAAGGTCAAAAACATTGAGCCAAAAAAATTTTCCAAAACTTGTTGGAAAAGTGTAAAAAGTTGATTTTGTCGAGAACAAAAAAGGCTCCAAACGAGCGTAAATGTCGACCCATTGAATGGTTTTTGGGCACTAGTTTTGAGACACAATACTGTCAGAAAAAAGGACGCCACAAAATTTGTAATGATTTTTTCGGGTCATAGAAAAATCATCATGGATGCAGAAAAAATGAGTGGCAAAGCGCTCATGAGAGGTGTGCGACAAAATCTTCAGGCTACCGGTATGGAAGGTGTATCGAGACCACTTAAGGATTACAAAACTTCGGTATACTCATCATTTATATTGACAAAAGTTTCATTACATATGATTCATGAATTGATTTTCAAGAAGCAAAAATTTGTTGACACTTACAACATACGGGCACTCTTTAGTAACAATATCGAATATGTATATGTACATTTGTCATAAAACATTACGTGAATTACGTGAATCATTTAATTTCTTCCGACATTGGATGGGATGTAACTAGAAAGTAGAAGAATACTAAAAAAACGACAATGTGGCTTTAGTTTTCATTGATTTTATGTACATAACCACTACAAAGACCAGTACATGTGCTCAGGAGGGGAGCTTCACCACTTTCCACTCACAGAATCCGATGCCCTTTGGATATGTTGTAGTACCCCATGAGTGTACTAAAACCCTGAAACGGTTTGACTCCATGGCCACATTTGCGCCCGCCACACCCACTCAAAGGTGCGAAAAACACGAAAAATACCCTGTTTTGGTTCATTAAAAAATCCGCCAAATATCCAATTTTGATCGGATTTTCAAAAAAATTACATATTCTTCATCTCAGATACCTGCTTTATGATGTCCAATACCAAACTCAACTTTTTTGAAATTTTGATTTTTTCGAAGACATACCCCAGTCAGAAAATTTTCGAAAATATCCAAAAAATTTTAAAAAATCATTTTGGTGTCGGATATTATCAAACAACTATTTGGGATCACGAAAATGCTTAAATTGCGGATATATGATCAAATTTGGATTTTTTGTGAATTTTTGAAGGTGATGATTTTCGTGTTTTTCGCACCTTTGAGTGGGTGTGGCGGGCGCAAATGTGGCCATGGAGTCAAACCCTTTCAGGGTTTTAGTACACTCATGGGGTACTACAACATATCCAAAGGGCATCGGATTCTGTGAGTGGCAAGTGGTGAAGCTCCCCTCCTCAGTAACGTTGTAAGATTTATTTGTTACAAAAAATGTCTTTAAGCTCTGCGAATACATAAAATTTCTGCTGTAACTTATTCATCCATTTTAAGCAGATACGATGATGAGAAAAATATGCATTTTTAGTCCAATTTTACACCAACCCAAATAGGTACGTTACATTCCAAAAATTAATTAAAATAATTGCATAAATTAAAAATATCCTCCAGGGACGGATATTTTTTTAAAGGCCGGCGCTGAAGGTCTCGAGTATGACGATCCTCCCGATCCCACTCGTCCACGATTACACGAACGACCACCCCCACCACCACGACCACCTCCTCCTTTCGCCATGGCGACCGGTTCCTCGGGAATAAATCGACTAACATGTTTCTTAGATGGTGGAATTGCATCCATGTTTGTCACGCTGACCTCAAACTGGGCGTGACAGAGGGCAAGCAGTGCGCAGGTGTCGAAACTAGTGACTTTGAAAGTCATCTAAATAGAATAAATACATAAGTTTCCTTCTTTCGTAAAAATCCGGGAACGGACGAACAGACAGAACATTTGCTTAAAGTATGAACTATATAACAATACTAATTATATGTATCACTCACGTATCAGGGTCTGGTTAAGATAATGTACAAGCTGGATACACTTCTCGACATCCTCCTTCCGTCCGTGGAGCTCACAGGCGTGCTCGAAGATATAGAACGAGTCAGTCTGTGCGCAAATCAATGTTCAAATATATAAGTACTTGTAAATGCATGAAGATATGAAATAAGCAATTTTTACCTCATTTTGTCTCCCCTCAGTAATTTCGTCCTGGCATATTTGGCACTTGTCCGTGGTCGGTATGATGGCCGTATTCCACTTACAATGGATACAGTACGGCACAGTGTGGCAAGATTCGGCTTGGCTGAATACAAAAAAGTAATCATTAAGATGAATTATGCTTAAATCCTAGTTTTACAGTAATAGACGATCGATAAGATTTTTTGAAAACTACCTTCGAAATGTAACACTTTTTTTTGTACCTTGTTGGAAATGTGAGAAGTAGAATCATAATAAGCATATCAACTTTGCGGGGTACATACATACAGTATCCGAAAAATGAAACCGACCACCGACATTCATAAATTTCAAACAACAAGTTTTTTATTTTGTTTTTGAAGCTTTTCCTAATACAACTGAGTATAAAATCCAAACCCATTGCTGTGCTAAATTCTCACAAATAGATATGCAAAAGTTCAATCTATTAAACTTCAATGTGGGGCACATACAGTATCCGAAAAATGAAACCGACCACCGACATTCATAAATTTCAAACTTGAAAAACTTTTATTAAATTTAAACAACAATGAGATATTTTTGGCTTATTTTAAAGAGCAACTAATAAGCTTCAAAATGATATATTACTTTATCCGATAAGATGAACATTACCCCAAAAAAATCTGAAATCATAAAAAAGAGTGAAAACCAGTGGGAAAATTTAGACCGACCACTTGTAACAATTTTATTTTCATACCACAAATATCGATTATTTTAGAAATTATTTTATTACCTAATATTTAGTGGGACCTCCCTTGGCCGCAATCACAGCTTGGCATCTTCTTGGCATGGAGTCCACGAGATTGTTGGTCACATTTTCAGATATGATCCCCCAAGCTTCGGTGATGCGGGTCTTTAATTGATTTTTGTTAGAAATTGGGAATTTTCGGATTTCCCTTTCTACCACATCCCAAAGGTGCTCAATTCGGTTCAGGTCAGGCGACTGTGCTGGCCATTCCAACCTGTTAATCTTCATATTTTTCAAAAATTCTTGAACAAGTTTTGCCTTATGTTTGGGGTCGTTGTCATCTTGGAAGATAAATTGACGACGAAGCCCCAGTTTTGATGCGGAAGATTTGATATTTCTTTGCAGAGATTTGTCATGATTCCGTCGATAAACTCCAGATTTCCGAGCCCATTGTAGGACATACAACCCCAAATGAGTACTGATCCACCACCATGCTTTACGGTTGGATTTAAATTTTTCGTTTTGAGGGCTTCTTTTGGTTTTCTCCAAACCCGACGATGTCGGTCAGAGCCAAATATGTTGTACTTTGGCTCGTCGGACCATAAAATTGTTCTCCAAAAGGAATCTGGCTTATTTACATGAAGGCGAGCGAATTCCAATCTTTTGAGTCTGTTCTTTTTGCTGATGAATGGCTTTTTCACGGCCAAGTACCCCTTCAAACCATGACGGTGTATGATATTTGACACTGTTTTTGAAGTTGCTGACTTCCCGGTTTGTGTCTCTATTTCAGCAGAAATCGTGGGACCACTAATTGTTGGATTTGTCATAACTTTTCGCAAAATTATCCTCTCTTCCGCAGCTGTAAATATTCGTTGTCGGTGTCCTCGGGGGAGATTTTTGATTTCACCGGAATTTTTATATTTGGTAATAATGTCGTGGACTGTCGTCTTTGGAATGTTGTATTTTTTTGAAAGTTCTCTTTCTGATAATTTTCCATTTTCATCGCCTTTCCATCCTTGAATAATTTAATCTCTGATGGCAATTGGAACAACTTTCTTCGGACCCATTCTGAACTTTGAAAGAGACAAATAATATAAATTTTAGCTAAAAATATTATAGAATTTATAAAAAGAAATAAAATTAATAAAATTTATTTACCTTCAATTAAAAAACTATAAATAACGATGCAAAAGCTGAAGTGGTCGGTTTCAATTTTCCCACTGGTTTTCACTCTTTTTTATGATTTCAGATTTTTTTGGGGTAATATTCATCTTATCGGATAAAGTAATATATCATTTTGAAGCTTATTAGTTGCTCTTTAAAATAAGCCAAAAATATCTCATTGTTGTTTAAATTTAATAAAAGTTTTTCAAGTTTGAAATTTATGAATGTCGGTGGTCGGTTTCATTTTTCGGATACTGTATGTGCCCCACATTGAAGTTTAATAGATTGAACTTTTGCATATCTATTTGTGAGAATTTAGCACAGCAATGGGTTTGGATTTTATACTCAGTTGTATTAGGAAAAGCTTCAAAAACAAAATAAAAAACTTGGTGGATCGTCCATTTTGAACAAACTGTATAGCAACATGTTGCTCCCATGGCAACACGTGATTTTGTTAATATTTTATATATACTCACATACTTACCTTAAGCTTTCACACAGCTCATCTAAGCGACGTTTACAAAAATAATTGGACCCATTGACCATATCTAGAGAAAAACAATCATGCCGATTACTTTCCCAGCACATATAGATTCACAAATTTGTATCAATTAAAATATAAAGATCAAGTCAAGATGACTACAACCTGTATGCCGGAATTCTGCACAAAGTAAAATGATAAGCACGGCTGGCAATGTTAGATTAGTATTTACAATTTTTTCCATTATCTCCCCAATTTAGTTGCCATGACGACACAGATCGTGACAGAACAACATATGCTCAACATACTCAACAAAAGTGTAATGAACTGAAATACCTATAACATAAAGTTGTGGAGACCGTGAAAGGGGAAGAGAACATAAGTCTGGAGGAGAAATCGATCCAGGAAAGGTTGTGTGGGAAGTAACTTAACTTTCACGCATGCAAAACTCATGGTGAATCTAAATACATACATATGTACTTATTGCGTTGGGCATACTCACTTCAACCTTTGTAAAATTTACTATTTAGGCACTTCCATATGGGCGTAAATATGTATTTCTTCACAAATAAATTCCACCCAGGGTATGATCTCAAGGGGATCAAAATCCTAGTAAGTGCAGAGGAGGAAATAGTTTCTTTCTCCGTTGTGAAGGTTTATTCAAAGTAATTAATGACAATTAATTTAGGTAGACGATGAGGATTGATCCCGAGGATAGATGAGGTACAACTATTGCGACAGACATCATTTTAAATTTTAGCCAAATGTAACATGTTCACTTGTGTTATGTTAAATGTTACATAATCACTAAAATTTCGCATAAAATAAGATGACGTCTGGACATGGTTGAAAAATTCTCGTGATTAATCCTGAGAGTAAATTCATAAAAGGAAAGGCTGTTCTTGTCTAATCAAATTATGTACCATTGCTGAATTCAGGTGTAAATACATATGCATTATTGACTGATTAGGTAGGATAAGAACTTTACAAAGTTAAAGAATATGTATTTGCATACGTCGCATAATTAAAATCTAATCAATAGATTACCATACAAATAGCTGTTTCTTTGCATAATTAACTTACTTTTCGTTCGAACAAGTCATTAAAATAAGTGTACAGTGATAGATAATCTTAGGCAACTATTTATGAACGTATGTAAATGTACTAATATAATTCCCCTCCCTAGTCTGGGTTCCTCTTCTTGACACCCATGTACCTAGCTATGGTTTTAATTTTCCATGAAATTTTTAACTACATTGTGTATTTTCTTTAAATTGCATTCATAAAGCAAATTTTCCAATAATTACTCAACCGGTTACTCATATGGTCATACATATGTTTTACTATAAAATTTGAATACACGAGTCTTCTTCTTAAATATGTTTGAAAATCCAATTCTTGAAAATTTATCTGTTCTGCATCTCGGTCAAATTATTCCGAATGTGTAAATTATGCATTAGCTGCATAATGCAAATTTGATATTTTATGGACCAATGTTTTATGGATTCGTCTAACCTCAATCGTAATCCCTATATGCCGTTTTTGTAAAATACAGTACATTTGTCTTCCTTAATGTTCATTATTACCGGTGGAGTCGTATATATAAATATGTACTTGGATCAGTAAAAATTTAGCCTATTTAAGGTTTATACGTGTACATACATACGTATACGAACTATAAACTCCAAAATAATACATTTATCCATACATACTTCATTCGACTCTACTGTCAGAAATGGGTCATTTTCGAAGATATTTTTAAGACCAAATAACCACATCGTCAGTGATAACGACACATATTTAATCTCGGGACGCCCCATCGCGATGCAAATAGTGACCTGACAGAATGTCTCGTCTCGTTGCCTATACGGAAGCACATGATGATGAAAACACATTGTTTATTCATACTTCTGATTAAATGTTTACGTTGAATTTGGTAGGCTGTGACTCTTGCATCTATAAACAAACTTATGTACATTCAATACCATATTCCTATTAATTTTACATTCACCGGTCTTTATTTCACGAATAACAAATTTACAGAAAATTGGCTGACTTTCCAGTATCCTTTTATTATCAGGTGTATGTACATAGTTTTGTACTCACGGTTCCTATCATGTTTACCAAATATTTAATCTGCTATTTAATAAGACTTCCAAAAAATTTAAACAATCAAGTCGACATATATTCTATTAAATTCAGTGACCTCGGAAGCCGTGGGAACATCTGAGGGTGGGTGGGTATAAATATATTTATGACATGGGGATATGATAGTGATTTCTGATGCCCTCCAATCTCCAATACCCAGTGGTATTAATCGGGACGGTATTCCCTATATTTTGGATCCCTGATCCTAATAAGGTTGATTAGACACAGATATTTGCTCAGTTCTGAAAATCTTGCTTATCCATCAAATCTCAAAAAGACTTCAACGGAGCCAGTAATTTTGAATGTAAACATACATATATTATTCATCGCTATGGTGGTATAATTTCAAGCTTGGTTATAACTCATCAATAAATTTTGTTTACTCAACTTGGAAAACCCGAGCGAAAAGCTTGTTTCATGCATTTTAGATGAGATCGGAAAGGTTTTAGGTTAGTCAACTTGTCTCAACCGTATTCGTACATAGTGGACATCACCAACTATTTTGCGTCATTACAAATATTCGTACGTATTTCAAGCTAGATTGGTTTCCAAGGAGTTTGAGCTCTGGTTTCTTTTATTGGAGTATGGTGAACGGATTCAGGCGAAATATCTAATAATATAGCTCCACATACATCGAAATTGAAGTATTGCACGTGTCTGGAAAGCCACAAGTGAATAGACCAGCGATAAGTCACAGATAATAGGGGGCAGTGACAAGCGACGAAATTCACCCATGTAGATACGCCCGTTGCTTTGTCAAGCCATCATTGTATTTAAATATCAATGTTTTCATAAATAGTTAGAACTTTTTCCGCATTTTTATCTCCATTATTATAATCAGTCGTAAAATATACGATGACTTTCTTATACTACAGGTCCAACGAATCATTTATAAAGTTCAAGAACACTCGAGAGAAAATGACACGCACTTTGAAATCGTTCTTTACTTGGATACGCGATATATTTTTACCATCTTCTAATATTCCGCTTATATCTAGTCTCGCAAAGATGACGTTACGTATTCAGCAGTTCCCTTTCACGATTACTAAAGGAACCTTTGTGCTTACGAATCTCAACCAATGTTGGCGCATATTATCAACTTTTATTATCTTGCTACATATTGCAGTTGTGCTTAAGTGGCTTTTAGACCAGTGGTTGGAACCAGTCAATCATTCCATCCCAATTTGGAAATTCGTCCTTATGTACTACTGTTTAACACTGTTCAGCGCCACTGTGGCCTTTACAGTTCATTTTACTTGGCTAAAGGGGGAAACTATATTTTTGCTAAATTCGGCACTTCAAGTTGAACGAAATGTAAAAAGCAAGGGTGAGTTTTGCAGGTGCAAATAGGTATGCGTTATTTCAATATTATAAGAAATGGTTTAGCCTTGAAACTTTAAATAGTATAATAGCTGGAATTTAGCACCGACACCGAACCGTAATAATCATACTTTTTGATCTTGGGGTGATCCGAGTTTAGCTGTATAACACCCAAATTGGTTTTAGCAACTAGAAAAATGACACAGAGCCCTTTTGACCTCTCATCTAAGATCTCAATATAGGATAAGAAATTGGAAAAATGTAAAATCTTACAAAAATAAATTAGATAATATCAGGTTGGCTTAAATTAACATCGTATATTATTAATACACCGTTAAATATCTGTAGTAAATTATAACCGGACAAAATACCGAAAAAACCCTATTTTGCCCATTCTAGCCAGCGTTGAGTAATTTAACGATAGCCCCTTAACCCTGCGTATTATAATTTACAGGAACCGACACTGTCCACCTTTATTATGCTTGGTTTGTCGTTCTATCCAAGATAACAGTAATTTTGATGCCAGCAGCCTGCACCGCCATTGCAATCGTTCGACCCTGTATGCCTCCAGCCTGGAGTAGTGTCATCTATCTTAAATGTGAATCCTGGGACGATGATGGAAATTCCGGAATAATTTTCAGAATATGTGGAGCCCTTCCGTATTACTACCTTGGCATGTCATTAGCGTCCACCACTGTCTTCGTTTTCACCGTGGTACTCATTTATCCCGCTGAAGTGAAGCTAATACTCCTGGAGTCAATTAACAGGTAGGATATAAAATCCCAAATGTACATTTGTTTATGAAAAAATGAATGAAAAATTTTGCAGGGACTTGTGCAGACGATGGCAGAATGCCGTTCCCTGTCTACACACTTACCGAACCTTGCAGATGCTAGGCGACATGCATAATTCAGTATTCAGGCATCCCATCATGGCCATATTGATCGGGGCTGTAACTGTTTGCGCAAGTTTTGCGTTATACATCTTGATAACCTCAACGTCGGTGGCTCCTATACCGATTATAATTATATTGTCGCTGGTTGCGCTGGACTTATTCATCATGGTCGTGGGACCTTTCAAATTTATGGCAAACCCACTGCCCAAGTCGACAGAATTACTGCAATCTTTTAAACGGATGAATCGGTCAAGATGGATAAAGAGATTTGTCAGGTCGTGCCCTCCGTCAAAATTGCTATTAGGTGATGGGAAATTTTTTGATAGAGCAACTTCTCTAGTAATTTGTAGAAAGAGTGCTGACTTGGTTATTACTTTTCTTCTAATGTAATGTACAATTATAGATGAAAGTAATCAGTTCTTATTTACTCAATATGAAAATATTGGAATTAAGTATCGATTATAAGTACTTAGTTTCCCACTAATTGAACTGAATTACTAATTGCAATTGCTTTTTAGTTTTCTTTTTAATTTCACCAAATTAGTAACTAATTAGTAATTAACAATCAAGTACTACACTGTAAATAATATGGTGATAAACATTACCGAAAACCACAAGTATTTGACTCTACCAAAGTGGTAATGATAAGGTGTTCCGTGTGGTAATGGCTTGGTAATAAAGTTTTACCATCATGATAACAGATTTTTACTACCTGGTAAAATAATATTACCAAATTTATTACAATCATTACCTGCATTACTTTGCCGGATTATTAACAGTGTAATTACTTGACCCATACCTTTAGATACCGATTAAATTAATGTTATTTCCTAGTCACTGATAGCCTTAGGGAATGTCCATAAATGAGCTGACAATTTTCAACATTGGAGGATAGGGAATTTTGCCTATCCAATGTTGAAAATTGTCAGCTGATATATGGACATTCCCTTACTCGGTAAGAAAT